TGTGGGGCCCTCGGAGGCTGGGCAGGGCAGGACTGGGCTGTTCGCCGGCAGAGCGGGCCCGATTTATCGTGTATCTTGCTGGCTTTGCCGCAGTAGGCTTGGACTCCCGGCTGGAAAGGCAACGGCCATAGATAAAGTGTGTTTTGTGTTAAAAGTGCCACTGGAAAATAAAGCGCAGAGTTGTTTCAGCTGCTCGGAGGTGGCACCTGCTGTCTTGGTAGCTCTTTATCCCATTTATTTCTTGGATTTCTCGACTCTGCACTTCTTGGCTAGGTGCCTCTGCTGCCAAAAATCTGGTGTCAAGGCTCCTCGATGAAAGTTAGTCTAAATAGTCACTTCTTCCTTGAAACTTGCTGTAAGCCTATATAGTTGAAAAATCACCCCTGGGATTGTGACGATTCGACATGAGGTTTTGTTGGCTAGGAAAGTATGGATTTACCTGGCGTTTGTGAGTCTCTTTCCACCTGTTAGCTCATGCTGCCGGGGACTTCTCCCCTTGTCCTGGGTCTTGACCACTTTGGATTGCAGTTGCTGAGTTTTTCAGCTCTCTTGATTATCCAGAAGTAACGGGCCTTTGGAAAGGTAAACATGCCTTGTCCTGGTCAGAGTCTTGTGGGTTGCTTTTTAAATACAGGACAAGTTTGAAATGAAAATGATAATTAGTTTATTCTAATAAGTTTGCAAATAACAGGCTTACAAGTTGGGCAAAAACCTACAGTGAAGACCATATAAAATTATGCCCAATATCAATTGCTTATTCTGTGGTAGCCTAAAGGTGGTTTATGTTGTTGGGTTTTTTTTGTAGAATAGCATGCCTCTGTCACTAGAATTAGTGTACTTGCCTTCCATTAAGTTATGTCAGGGTAAGGTTTGGTCTTGGTTTTTTTCAATTTGTGCATGTATTGTGATATTATGTAAGTATTCTTGTCAGGATGGAGGGCTTGTTCCAGTTGGCACACAATGATTTATTCTCACAAGAATATGCTTGTTTGAACTATTATGTTAAATGCATGGGTGGTATTGAAGATCCTTCTTTACATGATTCTTGAAAAATATTCTGAAACTTGCAATTTTTTCAAACTATACAAGTGAACAACTTTTTTTGTTGTTAATAGCTTGCTGCAGATGGATTCTTTGTCTTGAGGGAAATGGGGGCAGGGACTTGACCCTGCGATTTTTCAGCAAGTGAAACACACCCGTTGAAGTATTCAGTCTACTGTCTGTGAATACCTTTAAAGTTTATTTGATTAGCTCATAAAACATAGTGTAAATACAATAAGCTTGCTCTTCCTCTGGAATAACAGAGTAAGGACACTGTCGCGTTTCCGTCAGCACAGGCAGATCTGTGAGCTGGCGCTGTGATCCCTGTTGCCCCAGTATGTACTAGCAGGATCAAAATGGTAAGCTGATTGACTCGGCTCTCGCTCCGTTTGTGACAGGCAAACGGAGCCGGATCCGTGCTCAGTTGTTTGCGATGCAGCAGTTTCAGCTGCTGCTGGTCAGTGTGTGGATTCCATAGGTGACATTCTCTTACAAGCACATAGCAGTTTAATTGTTGCTTTTATTATGTATAAAATAAAGACTCACAGAGCTTGGTGTCCTCTTTAAGGTGTTTGCTTGCTCATAAGTAGTTTTGTCAGTGGGGTTACTGAGAGGGTAGACTGCTATGCAGAGTGAGCAACAGAGGGAAAATATGCCTCATTACGTGTTGACATAGCAACCAATGCTTTTTCACTATGTGTTGCAAGCACACAGCTCAATGTTGTGTTTTGGTCTTAATTAGAGTATTTCCATAGCATTGAAAAAAAGCAGTTTAATCCCACCAACGTTTCTGTGCTTAGGAGTGGTAACACATGCAAAAGGAGTATGGCTCACCTTTTAGATAGAGGGAAAATAGTATTATTTCTTTCTAAAGGGTTGATGCATGATTCTGTTGTTTGTTTTAAATACAGTTCTGAGGGAAGCAATGAGACTGAAACTTCTGCACCTTCAGACCAGATCTTTCCACGCTTTAACAACAATATGCCGATGCCAAAGCTTTAGTAAAACTGGACATCCACTATTAAAGCCGGATAATGAAGTTGACAGAACAGCTCACAGAACAGCAAAGTCTTGGAATTTGTATGCTCTGGAAACTGCTTTGCCCTTTTTGACAAATCAATACGTGCAAGTCAAGAATTGGCAATTGCTCCAAGGAAATTTATCGGCTTTGGGAAAAAACATTTATTATCAGAGTGGGGAGGTATTTTTTCCATCCTGGAAATGTTTTGGTGTGGCGATGACGGAAAACTACAAGCTCAATACAGAGCGTATGAAAAATCTTAGGAACATACCATCAAGATTTTACTCGGTTGTATCAGCTGGGAAAATTATTCCAAAACCCAGTAACCAGACAATAAAGAGGCCACCAAAGGCACCAAGGACCAAGCAGCCATCCAGAACCAACCAGCCACCGTCAGACGTGGAGGTAAAGTATAAAATTTACAGTTCATATAACATATGGGGAACTTCATCAGTTTAATTTAGATTCAGATTTGAGGGTTAATTAATATTTTAATGAAATTAACATGTATGTTTGATGAGGAAGGTTTTATTATTTACCCTGGTGTTGGAACTCTGCAAACAGAAACAAACTGAATAGAAACTAGCATGTCTGGTATTTTGAAGATAAAATGGAGATTTCCTAGCAATGTGTAAATGCTTATCTTCCCTCCACTTTTGTTTATTAAAGCAGAAAGACGAAATCCATTAAAAAGAACTTTAACCAATGCTCTCAAATCACGTTTAATATTGAGAAACAAAGTCTAGCCTTCACTATAATTTAACTTTCCCTAGGTATCTGTGGTGGGTTGATCCTGGCTAGGTGCCAGGTGCCCACCAAAGCCTCTCTTATCACTTCCTCTCCTCAGCTGGGCAGGGGAGAGGAAATACAACGAAAGGCTCATGGGTCAAGACAAGGACAGGGAGGGATCACTCAGCAATTATGGTCACAGGCAAAACAGACTTGACTTGGGGAAATTCATTTAGTTTATTGTCAATCAAATCAGAGTATGGTAATGAGAAATAAAGCCAAATCTTTAAACACCTTTCCACCACCCCTTCCTTCTTCCCAGGCTTAACTTCACTCCTGATTTTCTGTACTTCCTCCCCTCAACAGCACAGCGGGATGGGGAATGGGGGTTGCAGTCAGTTCATCACACGTTGTTTCTGCCGCACCTTCCTCCTCAGAGAGAGGACTCCAGCATGGGTCTCTTCCATGAGGTCACAAGTCCTGCCAGCGAATGTGCTCCAGCATGGGCTCCTCTCTCCATGGGTCCACAGGTCCTGCCAGGAGCCGGCTCTAGCACAGGCTTCCTACAGGGTCACAGCCTCCTTTGGGTGTCCACCTGCTCTGGCATGAGGTCTTCCAAGGGCTGCAGGTGGATCTCTGCTGCACTGTTGTCCCTCTGCAGCCCATGGAGCTTAGACTGCCTCACCATGGTCTTTACCATGGGCTGCAGGGGAATTTCAGCTCTGGCACCTGAAGCACCTTCTCCCCCTTCTTCTGCACAGACCTTGGTGTCTGCAGAGTTGTTTGTCTTACATATTCTCACTCTCTCTCTGGCTGCAAGTGCTGTGTGCACAGCAACTTTTTCCCCTTCCTAAATATGTTATCACAGAGGTGTTACCACTGTCACTGATGGCCATGGCCAGCAGCAGGTCCGTCTTGGAGCCAGCTGGCATTGACTCTATCGGGCATGAGGGAAGCTGCTAGCAGCTTCTCACAGAAGCCACCCCTGTAGCCCCCCTGCTACAAAAACCTTGTGACACAACCCAGTACAGTATCCTTATTTGTCCAATTCTAAGCAGTTTTAAGGCTTCACTCAAACAGAAATCAAGATGAAAGTAAATAGTGTAACGTTTATATTAAGTTTCAGATGGGAAACTGGGGGGCAGACATAGCCTGTGTTACTCGAGGAAGATTATTCCATGCCTAGAAATAGCACCTTGATCTCCAGGTTCATAGGTCTGCAGACTAACTGCAGCAACAAACTGTTTTGGATAAAATGAGATATGATTAAGTGGAACAGTGCATACTTGTAGCTGTTTCTCCTTAAGGTAGTTCTCTGCAAGCCTCAATAGTAGCCAAGGCAGACCTTAAGCATACTTGACCATAAGATCTCCAAGGAAAATCCTGGTATTGGAAGCGTTAGTGTTCTCCTCAAGCTACAGCAACAACTGAATTCCATAGTATTGTTAATAAAATAATATTACAGATAAGACTGAAACAAGCATTGTGCTTTCAGAAATAGCTTCCACATTGCAAAATATATCTGTTACATGGTCTACTGAATGTGAGCACAGAAACTGAAGTTTTAATGCTTGCCTTCTTGTCATCTAAGCTTCTATTTAATATTTTATATGATGAGCAGGAGTATGCTTTAATGTAACATAAAGACTCCATTATTGACAATTTAGTTCCCACTTGAATTTTCCCATCACTTTGAAGAAAATAAAGTGAAGAATATTAGTTCTGAAACACGATGTAATGTTTCAAGCTTGTTATTCATGCTACGACATTACCTTCAGAGATTGCTTCTTTTTTGTTGTTGGGTGAAATGAAGTGATGATTTTTTCACATTCTTGAGGCTTTTAAATGGCAGCATAGAATGCAAAGAGTTTCTTTGACGTTTTCATATGTATGTATGCAAGTAATATGCACTACTGTTTTTCCTTTGTTCTATTGTGAAGAAATGGAGAAAATCATACCTGATATACTGACAGAATAATGTACTTTCTAAGGAAGCTTCCATCCACATGGCAAAATGCTGTGCCAGAAATCGTATAAACTCCGACCTAACAGGAACATTTGCCATTTTTTAATAAACGCTGTGTAGTTTTGTCAGATACATAGCCCCATCTATGCGGGTATGGACAGGCCGTCACCTTGACTGCAGGCTGACAGTATTGTGCAATAAGCAGTTTTTTTTACCTGTTTGTGTATTTCGTTATAGATATGTAATATAGAGAAATAACTTAAAGATGTGGCTGGTTTCTGCAGGATAACTAATAGGAGTAGAGAAATGGAGACTCTGTGAGGTTTTTTACAACGTGCCATCAGTTTTCTCTAAATCCTCGTGTCACGAAAAAGCGGATCTTGCCTTCATGTGCCTATGTAAAGGTCACCAAGAACCCTCCAGTAACACAGGCCCCATTGCCAGGGCAGTTACTGTGGGGCAGGCTGCTGCGTCTTCTCCTTCCCTGTCTGCCCCTGGAGACGCTAGCTCTGGGCCCACTCCTAAGGTTCTCAGTTACATGAACCTGGAGGATCTCTGGTGTTTTCTGTCTAGAAGGGTCTGGCAGTTGACACACTTCTTTTGCAGAACAGTCTGTGAATGGTGAATGAGTGAGGTCCTTCCCACCCCTCCCCTGCACTAGTCTTCATGTGTTGTTTACAGGCAGAGTGCTGAGCACCAGCAGTGATAAATGGTTGCAAGACCAGTTTTTCAGGATAGATGGAGGAGTTACTTGAAAGCAGTTAACTGGTTTAGTCAGTCCATCAGTGAGTAGTACCACTATTCAGTTTAGTTAATCTCATAAAGTTTGATGGCATGAAAAGCCTCTGAACTAATTTTTAATGCTGTAGTCATGTAGTCTAGAAAAAGCCTGAAAATGAGATAAAGATGTAGCATTTAGTATCCTTAAGATAAAGACTGATTCCTATGGTGATGTGAGGATTTCAGGTCATCCTACAGGATTTCTTTCTTAAAAAAAAAATTGTATACTTAAAGTGGAAGGGATGGGCTAAGGAGAATTGTGGTTCCATGAGTCCCTGCAGTTGTTGGGGGCGTGATGATATGGAAAATGGGTTGTTGAGGTACTTAGGATGGCTACTTGGACAGCTGTTGTGGTGCTTTTGATAGAATCTCAATGAAGCCCCAGCTGTAGGCAGAAAGGAGGAAAGGGGTAAGTAACTGGAGTTTCTTTCTAGCACCAGTAAGGATCTTGAATACTGTTTTTTTTTTTAAATTTGCAGGTGAAAGTGACATAGCAGAAAGCATGGGATTAAGGTTGACCAGCCAGTTAACACGTTTATTTTAGGATTAGCCGAATCATTCATTAGAGTATAGACTTTTTGGCTGTATCTCCACCAACTATCATGGGAGCTTAGACATCTAGAGAGCCTGTGGACACCTATATTTTAGGTGTCTTAGTCTCAAATTACACCCAATCCAAATGTTCCCCATCAAACAAGGTTTTATTGAAAATGTAGGTGAAACGGTGCCTTGCGAAAAAACAAGCTAGTGCATATCCAAAATGCTGTTTCAGGCATGTAGTCTTAGCAGCAAACTTCTGGTTCTAACTAAATGTAAAGTCCTTAATTTCCTTAATTGAAATTAAAATTGCAGCAGTAAGTTAGGAATTCTGTCCTGTAGTGCATCTGCCTTGAAATGAACAATAACACAAGTAATAAGCTGTGGGAAGCATAGAGCAGGATAGAGATTTTCAGAGTATATACTAGCTAGAAAATAAGTTTGCTCCCTTAGCTCTTGCCGGAAGAGTTTCATGGCAGAGCATGAGTACTTCTAATAACCAGAGCTTTCTGGAAAAATCTGAAGTACATGATTTGCATTGGCAGTTTAGAGATTGAGAATGGATTTGTACAGATGCAGTTGTGATAATGCAACTTTTCAAAGGTACTGCAGCAAGAGAACAGAAAACACAATTCTATTCCACTGTTATCTCAGCCTTGTAGCAGAGTCATGGAAATACGCCTACAAAATTGCTCACTGAATATTGTAATTACTTTTAAAGTTTATTTTCTGTTGGTGATCACTGAATTAAGATGATGTGTAAGCAAAGCTTTGTAAATGATAACAGAGTGTTAATGTTAAAAAAGAAAAGATTTAAAGAGTGGCCGGACCCCCCAAGGAGTAGAACACCTTTTTAAGCCTTGCTGTTCAATAGTGTATGAGTGCTACAAGAATACAATTTGGATTTTAAGTTGAAGCGTATTGTGGGTATAAATGCTTGCAGATGAGTACAGTTCTTTTGTTCATTTGTTGTTAGTTACATCCCCATTTGTATTAGTTACAAAAAGCTGGGAAGTGACTGATCCACAATGAGACACATTGCTTTCTGGATAGCTTCCACTACATTGTACTGAAAAACATTATCATGGGACATACATGGTATCAGAACAAAGAAATTCACTTAAAATGAGTAGTAGAATTTGTAAATCAGTTTATTGTGACTTGTTTGATTAATCAAGAAAACTTTTTTACACAGATGACTTTCTGTTTTCTGTGCCATGCATGAGTCAGTCTCGTTGCAAGTCAGTATCATTTTTCCAACCATTTGTTTCAATGTGGCATTTTAGTTATTTATGATTGTGGAATATTGAGACAAACTGGCTGTTGTATGCTGTTCGACTGTGGTGTCAGTTGAGACCATGTTGTTAGTGCAGGATTCAGCTCAGGCGGGACACTGTGGACCTGCAGCACTGACAACTGGCCGGGAAGATCTGTGACTTTCTGTGCTACAGTGGCTTGTACCCTGGGGGTTAACTGGGTAGTGAGCTTTGTGCTTGGAAGAACATGCTGTTTGCAGTTGGAGCTTCTGTTTGATAAGCAGGCTAGGATTTAAAATACAGATTTTTAAAGCTGGTATTGGGGGTGTCTTGCTTTTGATTTCAGTGGTCAGCCAAGTATGTCATGAGCTGTAGGGTGAGAGAGCAGTAACAAGTGTAGCTCTACTGTTAAAACATTTGATTGGCATTCAGGGAAGAAGGGTTCACTTTATGGCTCTATCACAAAGTTTTTTGGTGTGACTTACTCATGTCACCTGGTTGGATCTCAGTCTGTCATTTCCTTTCCTGCTTAACAGAGAGCAAGTAATCTCATGAGTACTTGTATACCAGGTGGACAGCATGACAATGATATCATAGAAAAGAGTGAATAAATGAAAAATACTACTCTCATGATAAATTTGAGGCAAACAATTGTCTTATTAACATCTTGCTTCAGCCTTTCCCTAACTCAAATCTTTATTCTTTGGCACAGAATTTGATGCAGTGCACAGCCTTTGCAACAGCAGATGAATATCATCTTGGTAATCTGTGTCATGACCTGACTTCACATGGATATGTTGAAATAACAAGTTTGCCTAGAGGTAGATTTTTGAAACATATTAAAAGCAATGTTATACCTTGGGAAATGAAATATGGGTGAGGTATATAATTTTTATAACTCATGTATTCTTATTCTGGTAATACCCTGGAATATATCACACTGCCTATAAAAATACTGCTTTGCTTAAAAATTTCATTTGCTTAAAAAACCCACATCTAAACCTTTCAGAATAGCAATATAACCAGCACTTCCTGTTACCCTATGATAATTTTTCCCATACACTAAAAGTATTGAAAAATTAGATGCATGCAGGAAAAATAAATTTGGACAATTTTTGACACAAATAATTTCTACAGAAATTTGCTAACTGAAAAAATTCTGGAAGTTTTCTTTATTTTAATCAACCTCTCAGTAGTGTGGTGCCGTAGTGCTTCAGCTGTCAAAACAATTTTTGTGTAATCTTTTTGTACATTTAAAAAAAATTTTTGTAATTTGAAGTGTTGCATCTTCTTTCCAGCTGACACTTCTATTAATGTAAATCACTGAGAGGTGGAGAGGAAGGCATGCAAGAGATCTTGCTGACTAAGTGAAATGAAAAAGATATACACATAAATGCTTAGTGCTAGTAAAGTGGATGCAGTTGACAGGTTTTTTTATTGGGCCAAATATATCCTAGCAATTGTTGAATGCTTCACTTAGCTAGGCTTCAGCAAAAGAATTGGTTCTGGTTTCCATACGAAGTATCTCTGGAGACTTGGGAAAGTATGGCTTGGAAATAGCTGAAATATACCACAAGAGAAAAACAAACGGAGCTTTCTATAGCTGAAGGAACCTTATGCCCTAGAACAGCTGTGATTTTCATATGTTGGCAGTAGAATTTATTTTTTTTTTCTTTGAATGGACAGATTATATGAAGCTAAGAGAATGACAGATACTCCTTACGAGCATTTCAGTAGAGGTTATCAAATATCTGGCTGCCTCTCTCAATCACTTAATCCAAGTGCAATAATACTCCAGTGGGTGACTCTTAAATGCAAGATTTTCTAATTATCATCTTGCTCAAAAATATCAACATGGAAAGAGAAGGTGCTGTAGAGTATAGGCTTCATATTCCTTTGTATTAAAACCAACACTGGTTTCACAGATTCGGGATAGAAACTCTGTACAATCCCCAGCATGACTGTGAATTATTGTAAGGCAAATGTTGCTGTTGCTGGTATTTTACCCTGGAAGTGTGGGTTTTGCCAGTTCTTTCATTTCTTTGTGGTGTGTTTTTTGACTCCTCACAATAGATACTCTGTTTATCACAAGTTTGGAGGAAGTAATGATGAAAGGATGTTGGATTGTGCCAGCAGATCTGATGTTTCGTGGTGGTTGGCTTGTGCATGTGGCAGTGGTTGGTTACCAGCTCAGACATTGGATCTTGGAAAACTGAAAAATATTATCACATGGAAATCTATATCAGCAATTATTGTGTAGATTTGTTGCTTCGTAGTGTTCTTCCTAAGCATTATTCTTAATTTTGACCTCTTTAAAAACATTTTAGAGGCAGATCCTGTACCTCCACTTACAACAGACCAAATTCTTTTCAGTTGTGTGTGTTTTGGCTGGAGTGAATATAAATAAAGATAAGGGTGATATTTGAAAAGGCAAACGAGAAAACACAGACAAATATTTCTTCCATGGGGAACTCAGACTTCACACCCAAAACTTGCTGTAGTGATTAATCAAACCACGTGTTTCTGAACTGGAATAGCAAGTGAAAGAAAAAAAGACTTCATACAGACCAACTGTGTGGCCTCAGTTCAGGTGTTGGCAAAAGCATGTCCAGTCTCTTAGTCATCTCTCTCTGATGCCTTTAGTCTTCCTGGCCTCTATGGCTTGAGCAGTAAAGCAGAGAGTGGAATTCATACACAGGCTGAATTTGATGCCTTTTCGCTGGACTTGTGATCTTTCTGCAAAGGGGTTGAATTTTTTAAGGCTTAGGTGTTAGGCCCTGCAAATTCCTCTTTGTGGAGTCTCACCTTATATTGGAAGTAGGGGCTGTTGCTCGTGTAGTGCTACTAGTTCTGCAGCAAAATAAGTCATGCTGGAAAGTAACCTTTTTTTTTTGTCAAAACCACTTCAGGACTTAAAAAACTTTCTCTACTTTAGGGAGTAGTACAGTGGAGCAGACCTCTAGAGAAAAAAAACAAAACCCTGTTTTGAGAACCCAGCATCCACGTTTTGTAAGTTTTGGGGCATTCTACCTACACTAAGTTAAGTCTGGTCCTTTGTAACAAATGCCCATTAGTGGTTGGAGTACCGCAGGTGCATTTTTGTAGCTCCTCTTTCAGTTTAGTTTAATGCCAAAAAAAAATCTCAGTTTGTGTACTCTGACACTGTTCTCCAGTGCACATCAAAAGTGTGGTAAATGAGGATGGCTGGGAGATTTGTTTCAAAACCGTGTTTCTGATCTGAAGGAGAATGCAGATACACCCTCTCCTGTCTTGCAGGTGTGCTCGTTCAAGTTTCTGACTGTCAAAGCAAAGTCAGCAAAATTTGAGTGCAGATGAGTCCCTTACTATATAGAACAGAGAAAGACCTTCTGGGCAAGCAGATTTGAATGGTAATTTCTCTGCAACTGGGGGCAAACTTCCGTAGTTCCTTCACGTTGCATATTCTGTTCCTGGTTGTCTTCTATGCCCTGCATCAGTTTTTGCTGAGAGTCTTTTGTCCTTCAAAACTGTTACATTTCATTAACTAAAGATTCCAGGGCGGTTCAAGGTAGCGGCTGAGTCTGTCTAGAGTATGACACTTCAGAGAAGCAGTGTAGTTTGATTTTGTAGTTGTTTCCTGGCAAGCATTTCCATCAAAAAAATATAATATGGGGCTGTCTGATATGTTAGCATGTAACTGTTAAACTGGAATTATATGCTAATAGCTGTCATGTTTAGAAGTTTGAATAGTTCTTCAGTTTTTTCATTTATTTCAAAATAGATGCTGCAAATGTTTTGGTGATTGGTACTGAGAAATGTGCAAAAGAAGATGATCCTGGCATGATTTTTTTCTTCAGGTAAGTTACAAATCATGCCCAAAATATTCTTTTATTAATAGCAGTGGTGTGAAAGAAGCTGTGCAGCTTGCTAGGTCATTGCATCATGTTACTTCATGAAACTCAAGTAATAACTGTCCAATCAGAACGATTGAAAGAAAAAAATTCAGAATTATTTAGATGGTTAAAAGACAATTTAGATTCTCATGTTTTTTCATTAAATTATGGTTAAAAAAAAGCAATTATTTTGTAGTTTTTGTGAAAATAGTATTAAGTTTCTTGATTTCACAATGACAAAAATTGCCACTGTACAATATGAGTATTGCATTGAAATACATTTAAAACAGTATAATTACACCTCAGTTCTTCCTTGAATTCACAGGGAAGGGGCTGTTGTGTTTTGGAATGTGGAAGAGAAAAGTGTAAGTAAAGCAAAACCATTTGTTAAAATGTCATAAGCGGGTGTTTTGTCAGTCTCACAAAGCCCAGCATGCTTGGGCTTTGTTTGGGAGCTTGGATCTCTCCATGAGGGAAAAGGAGTGATTCTTGTCCTAATGAATGCAGGTGGTTGCCTGCTGCTGCTCTCAAGTGTGTGGGTTGCTGATATATCACCTTTTAAACTTGACTTTCTGCACAAAACGAGCAAATACATGTGTGACATACAAGGTGGATAACATTTTCTACTTAAGGGCAAAAATCTGAAACCTTAATCTAGTGAGACTGACAAAAAGAAAATTCTTGCAGCTCTGCATCCTGAAGAAGTAGATCAGAAAAATCAACCTGTGAATGGTTGTTTGAAAGGCACTAATGTAACAGAAGATGTGTTAGAATTAAAGGCTAATTCCAGAACCATGTAAATCAAAACTCTTGAAAACTTACATTTGGATAACTTTGAAAGAGACAAAATTTGTAAGCAACTTTTTAATACTGTGTTGTGTTTCTACCAATTAGCAGTTTTCCTGAAGGAAGATGTTTATTGGTTGGTATAATTGTTAAAATGTGTTGATAGTGAAGTGACATAGCCCTTAGAATAATTTGGTGCCCTTTGCTGACCAAGAGGGGTATGCCACAGGCACATCTCTTTTTACGAATATATTTATAGTTACTTTGATTTTTTTTTTAATATATTGATTTTTGATACTGTGATAAAATAAAATTGGATTCTAGATACAAAGAGAAAAGTATTGATCTTATCTGTAGGCAGAGTATGTGAAATTAAATGGTGTATTAAATAGATGATACTGAGATATACAGAAATTCACAGGAGGATTTTCATTAAGGTAAATGAAAATACAGAGCAGCTGTTTCCAGACGGGAACAATTTCTGGATTGAAGTTCACTTTTTGTGTTATGGACCTGAAATGTTCCTTATTTCCTGTCTGTTCGGGAGCAGTTCAGTGTATCAGCTGGCCTACAAAAAGATACTAGTTCTCCGTTCAGACTTTGCCTGTAGCACACTCAGGATGCTGTGACTGTAACTACACTACTGATTCACGGGTAGTACTGAAGATTAGCTGACTAATTCCTGTTGATTTTTATGAGTTGGGCACCTCTACTCACTGTAGTACTCTGAAAAATCTTGTTTTGTTGTACATGCTTAAGTTTTGAAAACTTGATACCGCATTTTTCTTGTCAGTACTAGTAACTTTAGTTGGTCCCTTGCTAGCTTTATTTATAAAAGAAGAGGAAAACTGCCTCTTTCTGCTTATTGAAATCATAGTCAAAGTTTTAACTTCCAAACAACTTGCTCAAACAGAGGAGGTATTTTTATGCGACATTTTAATGACCTGAAACAAACAAAACAATAGACCAAACTTGTCCGTAGAACAGAAACTGAAACTAATTCAGTAAAACAGAACGTAGAGAATCACTGTGAACGGACAAAATTGCTTTTTTAAAAGTGGTCCAGAATGACTGGAGAAGAAAAACTGTTTTAAACTAACAGACACTTAACAGAAGAAGTAATAACTACAGACTGATCATGAATAGAAGTTTAAAATATAAAATGCCGTTCTCAAATACTTCAGTAGGGAGGTTGTGCAACAGCTTCCTCACCAAAAATAGCAAGGGCAAAAGGCAAAACTAGATTTGAGGTGGAGTTTCCCCGTTTTTTTTTAAAAGGAAATTGTGTGACGTGATTGCCTGTAATAGAAAGAGTTTGCATTTAGTGAATCCAGAACATCTCTTCCCATTAAATGTGCTGTGTCACAGGTAGTCCCTTCTGTAAAATCAGGCGGGGCCTGGAAGAAACATCAGTCAGTGGAAGCCTTTGTATTACTCTGAACAGATGAAAGAAAGCTGCCACTGAAATACAATTTCTCATTATCCAGAGCAGTGGAAGAACATTGGAAGTATGCATATTGCGAGACATAGGAATTTCACAGACTCTGTTACAGTCTGTAAAGCTTTGTTAAATCTTGCTCTGTGCTGGCCTTGGGAAGCCTGAGCTGGTTGTAGTTCTGGAAGGGACTGTTAGTCTATTAACAGCATAATTATTCCTGTATTAGTAATGACTTCACAGAGCCAACTAGAGCACCTGGATCCAAGTGAACACGCTCTTGGAGTCTGGCATGCTGCATTATGGATTGGCTCTAAACTCTGGCATTGTTTTAGTGGGGTTCGCATTGCTGAACTGCCCCCGGACAGAGCGTAGCTGGTTGGCCGAGCTGACCGGCCTAACAGCAGACACTTCCTTGCTCAGAAGAATAAAACAATTTTTCATACCCTGTTTTACCACAATTCTTGGAATATATGGCAGGTACTAGTCATGCTAATATTAAATTCAGGATTATAAAACAAGCAGTTGCAGCTGTAGGGTTGGGGTTTTTTTAGTGAAAAATGTTATCGTGTGTTACATAGACAGTATCACCTAAATTCTTGAAAGCCATGAAGAAAGCTATCACTGCAAAGAAAATCCCTCTTGCGGGTGATCCAACAGATAATTTTTTTTAGAGTACTTAATCTGGAGAATATGCTTCATGAACAATTGACTAGCATACAGCTTTGCACTAAAGACTATTACTTAGTATTTTGAAGAGTGTTTTAAGTATGGCTTAGTGGAAGATTCACCTCTTTAAAGAATTTAAAAATGTATTGTGGGGTTTTTTTTGTTTGTTTTGTTGTGTTTTTTTTTAATTGGCTGTTGTGTAGCTAAATGCCCTTCAAAAACCTGTAGGTGACTGCTTTTTTTAGGTCAGAATTTGTTGTAATTGCGGAATGATTTTTATGAGGGGAGCCTTGTAGCACGTAGAAAGGAACAAGGATGAGGGATCCTAAGTCAGATGTCAGACGAGAAGGTTTTGTGAGAGAAAAGCATTCTTTCTTCCTGCATCAGGTTTTAGTGTGCTTGAGAATAAAATGACAGTGAGATTACTTCTGCAAGTAAAATTGCACATTTAACTGTTTACAGGGTTGAATGTGGGCAGCTGGAACCATTTTTACAGATTGCTGTAGTTGTAAGGGATTTCTGCAATATAACTCAATCTCTGGTAGCCGAAACAAAACCGTTGATTTTAGCAGCAAACTGGTAGTTTTGGCAGAAACAGCCACCTGATGTACCTGTCCTAGTGATTCATTCCAACACTCAGACATCTGCCAAAATCTTGTACAGCTTATTGTTATAGTACTGAGTACGTCCATGTTGTCTTTACCGCTGCTGTAGTTAATCCTCACCTGGTTTTGTATATGTAGACATTAAAGGACATTTTCGTCCTCACAGATTCCTTGCAGTTGTTCATAGCTACAAGTTCTTCCGTGCAGCTGTAGATAACTTCAGAAGTAAACTGTGTTAATAATCACTTTATTACTTAGCATACTTCTTCATTGTTATTTAAATACTTAAGCATGAAAGTTGCATTCATCAACCTATCATATGCTAGATCTTAGTGGAGTGATATCATACTGCATGGTAACTGTTCCTAAGTGTGCAATTGTCTTCTCAGATGAAGAATGTTATGCAAATGCTGGAACAGCATGAAATTCAGCCATATGAAGTTGCACTAGTCCACTGGGAGAATGAAGAGCTGAACTACAGAATAGGAGAGTAAGTATCTTCAGGCACTCTTGATAATGCAATCAAAAGCAGCTAGTAAAAATATACTTCTCCTTACTGTTTTTAAAATGAATAAAATAAAGAAAGGAGGAAACAGTAAATCTAAATTGACAAAGTTTGCTGAACTGCTAAACTTGCAAGTAATGGCCTTTGTGACTTGGTTATGCACTAGATTTTGTAAATTATGAAGCTCCATGCCTACACAACTGGTTCAGAACCTGTTCTTCAGCAATCCCAAACAGAAACTATGTACCTCACAGAAAAAAATAAATATGCGTTATTGAGACAAATCTGGTTTTAAAGAGGATTTTCTGCATAAGCTTTCCTTAGTGCCCTCTAGGTTCATATATAAAGCTGTATGTAATTCTGCACATACTTCACTTTCTGGGAAAGTTGTAACTGGAATGCTGTGGAACGATAAACTTGGCAAGTTGTTAAATAATGTTTTTTCATCATGGGGAGCAAATGATCTCTACAGAAGTATTTCTCAATGTAAATGATTATAAAAATTATCTGTAATTTTCCAACAGCACCAAAAAACAACTCCTAGACAGGACGCTATAACACTAGGAGCTGAGGTAATGAGGTTGAGCTTATTTAAGGTAACTTGATAAGAGGGCAGGTTTTTGTTTCTATTTTTTCCTGGCCATTGGAAAACTGCATGTACTATCCAGTTGTGTAATTTGTGATTCCTGTCCTATTCCATTGCGTTTATGCAAGTTTCATAGTGAGATTGACACACTATAGTGAACAACTGTCATGCCTCCTTTTCTTTGCTGCTGGCCCCCTGTGCCATAGAGGTTTCAGGGAAAGTAACATCATAGCAGGGAGGGAGTGATGTTGATAGAAGTGAGGGAAGAAAAGGAAAACAGAAACAGATAATACAGGAGACAGAGAGTAGGAGAGAGGCTGGCATTCTGCATTACCTGTGTATATATAGTAATGCTGCAGTTACCATCGTAGCTTGCTGCAGTTTCATTTAGACCTAGAAAATTTGGTCATAATATTAATCTTAGACCAAGGAACTAACTCTCAGTGATCTGTTTTGGTTATTGTCAGGTTGAACATGGGTAAAATGCAAGGATGGTGATGATACCCAGATAAATACGGCATGCTTTATATAAATAACCAACCTTTCTGGTGTTTTTTCACTTGTTCTTTGAATGTGCCTTTGCTAGTGGCTTAATCAGTGAAGATGCTTCAATACTGTTTTAACAGAGGCCAGTCAAAGCTTCATAAAGGAGAAATCTTGTTAAATTCTGAGCTGGATAGTGATGAAGTTGTTCTGCAGAAATTTGCCTTTTCAAATGCCCTGTGTCTTTCTGGTAAGTTAATATTGTTTGTATTACCAGCCTATGCTACAGATTTTGTGCAATGTCATTGTAAGTGGGGTTTGTACAGTGACAGGTTGGAGAAGGCTCGGTGTCTGGTTTAGGCAAACTGTGTAAAGATTGATTGTGCTTCAGTGGGAGGATTAGTTTTCAAAGTTTTTACCTTGTTTTCTGTAAATTGGAATTACCTTATTCAAGGTAAATCAACAAAGCATATTAAGAAACATACTTTACAAAAGATACACGTTCTACTGAGCATCCTTCTTCCCACCCTTGGGAACTATTCTAGGATAGCATTGAGTGTAGAGTCCAGTATTAGAAACCTGTCAGTAATCTTAGGTAATTCACCCTGACATCATTTCCTCTAATAGAAAAAGCTAGATGCCAGCTAAAGAAGTGATTCCCAGCTGGGGAGGTGTACCAGTATCAGAGCTGTGGACCAGAGTCACAGATAAAAGTTTTCCAGGCTTATTAGCCATGGCTGTGTGCCATAGACTGCTGTCTGGAGACAGCAGGAGACACTGGGAAGAAGTCAGGCTCAGCAGCAGTGCTGCTGCTTGAGGAAACAGACATCTCTGCTGCTTCAGACCTCAAATGTAGGAAGTGGGAGTAGAAGCGAGCAGCAGTAAGGCCATTCTCATAAAGACCTTTAAAGGAAATCTGGTCTGTCTACCCCTACTGCTTTTAGGGTAAATTACAGCATTCCTGTGGTATCTGGGGAAACGTACCTTTAAACAGAGGGGACATCAAGAAACAGAATGCATGTTTTTGAAGTGATACAGCATTTGATCAAGGAGTACAGCATAGCTAAACGGTTCCTGACTGCTGAAGGAAGAGCTATTGAGAAAAAAAGCGTTTAGTTCTCTGTAGTTTTCCTATTCATAAAGCCGCTGCATGGAAGAGTGGTGCCACATATAATGGAGAAAGGGATTTATTCCCAGGAGATAATTGGTATCAGTTTATGTTAGAGTGAGACATGCACATCATAAAGGAAAACAGTTCAATAATGTTCAATAAAAATAAAGGATGCAAGTCTAGTCCAAGTCAAATTTATGACACAGCAGAAACCAACCTCTGTCAAATAATTGGTGATGCCTATTGGCTTTTTTTTGAGGGGCTAAATTAAATGTCATTTAAGTTACTGACTTGGATTAGGCCTCTCTATTCAAAAGATGAGTGGGAAAAAATGCTCGGCATTGGATTTACTGTCGGTATCCTGACTAGACGATACTATCGATTACTACCATGAAAGAGTTCATTTTGACAATTAAGTCTTCCCTGATTATTTTTTCTGAGTGAATAGGGTTAATTTTTGATGTGTTACTACTTCATTCTCGTCTGGGAATCTGCAGGCTAAAGAACAAAGGCCTGAGTTGTATCATCTTCCTGTAGAAACATCTTTCCAGGCTCAAGCTGAGGCATAGCAGAATTTATAGAATCATAGAATGGTTAGGGTTGGAAGGGACCTCAAAGATCATCTAGTTCCAACCCCCCTGCCATGGGCAGGGAAACCCTCCACTACACCAGGTTGCCCAAAGCCTCGTCCAACCTGGCCTTGAACACTGCCAGGGATGGGGCATCCACAACTTCTCTGGGCAACCTGTTCCACTGAAGTTGTGGATGCCCCATCCCTGGCAGTGTTGCCATTGCCTGTGCTGAACAGCTTCCATAGAAGAGAATTTTTATCTTCAGTGAACACTATATTCACCCAGAAACAAAATGGGAATATTGCTTAAGTTTGAATTTAGCTTCACCAAGTACAGGTTGTGTGTCTAAACAAGCCAACTCTCTATGGTTTGAGCATGCTGCATCAAATACTGGACAAACAGAGAATGAGAGTTCTGCAGGACACAAGAAATGCAGTGGAGACTCTTGAGTGGCTGCACATGAAGTCAGCCTGACTCCAGCACGCTTCATCATCTCCAGCCTTCTTGGAATATAGTTTGCAAAGGCTTCATAAATACGTTACAGCACTTAAACACACAACTTTGGAGCTGAAGTAAAAGCTCTCCCGGATCTGAACGAGCTGAGCTCAGGGTGGTTCTGCGTGCAGAGCTGTGTCAGTGCCCAACCCGGATTTGTCCGTAGATGCATGAAGAATGGTTGTATAATACTAATGGTAACAAAGGGCTGCAAATGTTTGTATGTATCAACACGTGTTGAAGCAGCATGCTGGCAGATTTTTAAAGTTACTATTACTGGAAAGCATATATACTTCTAACAGCATTCTACTTTGTCATCTCTGTGTCGTAGTGAAGCTGGCTATTTGGGAATCATTATTGGATAACTTTGTGGAATCTATCCAGTCAATTCCAGAGGTGAGGTCTTGTTTGTAACTCTCCCCTCCCTTTCTCCTGTGCTTTGTAACAGATCAGTCCAGATCCAGCTGAGGATATGAAATGTTGCATGTGTATCCTTAACAGGACAAGCAGCATTTAGAAACCTGGCCAGACACAGTGAGTGGTAGCTTGGCCTGAAAGTAATGTGCTATACATATTGAATATAATGAAGAGTTTGAGAGAATTACATAAACTGGTTTTTCATGAGACTTAATTAAGTACAAAGTCCATATCATGTCACATATAAAATGAGACTTGAGTGGTTCAAAAGAGAAATCATCTTTTTTTTTGTTTTTACTTTATGAAAGAAATAAGTGGCAATACATTCTCATAAGGAAAAAGTCTAAGACTAAATAGTGGCAAGGTAAAAGAACACCATCTTGACTTAAAAATAACAATAGTAGGAAGAAAAAACAAATGACCTCTTGTTCAGGAAATCATTCACAGAAAAGGCTCCAGGATTTTGTATTGATACTGGTGGCATACTCAGTGATTTATTGAAATGCCTGGATGAACAGCTACATGGCAATACTCTTACAAAGCTAGGTAAGCAAGGCACTTGGCAAACAAAACTCAAAATGTTATTATGATATGCATTCAGATTTTAACTGATACACATACTTCAGGCAGTAGAACTCCAGACTTAACTCCTAGTATGTGCTACTTGATTTAGCAGTGAAAAACTTGTTACTTTGCAGATCCTGAAGTCACGAAGGAAGGTGAAACTGTCTCACGCAGATGTAATGCAGAAAATTGGAGAACTCTTCGCATTAAGGTAACTTTTTTTGGTTACACACAAGACATTGTATTACATGGAACTTAAAAATGAAGTTATGCATGATACAAAAAACAGAATATATACTAAACACAGCGGTAGGGCAGGGAGGAATTCCTTCATCCTTCTTTTGGCTGGAGACTGTGTGCACTGTTACGTTAGTCAGGGGACCCACTGGCTCACTGTCTCACTCACCGCTGGCGTCTCAACCGTAGACAGGCATTAAGCAGCATATTGTAAATGGCCAAATTCCACATCTTTTTTCCTGCCTGGGTCTAGCAACGTATGTCTTGTAACCAGTAATTATAGTAAATACTAGAGTATGCAAAGGATACCAGGAGGCAGCACAGGGGCAGGTAGAACTGTTAACTATGGTCTAGAGTTAGTAAAACTTTTCTGTGTGTTCTGTTCTTCCCTTGACTTACTCAGAAACCACTGCTACATTGTAAGAATTTATTGGATTTTTTTTCCCTCTCAAGTGAAACTTGGCCATTGGAAATACAAAGCATTACTCTTTTACAAAAAAAAACTCAAAATGAGTGAAGACAGAGGTAAATTTAAAAAGCAATTCCAATTTTAAACATTGGATTTTCTGTCTCTACTTGAAGGACTGTTCAGTAATGAACAATGATGTTGTGTGTCCAAAGATTTATGTGAGCAGTAGGTTGAGGGTGGGAGATTTTAGCTCTTAGCCTTTATAATGTTGAGACAATAGCCTGGTTCTGAAAGGTATGCTATGCTCACATATCCAGCATGCAGTACCCATCACAATTAAAAAGTTCTGAGATGGGAATAAGCTGTTACAGAACTCCCCAGTAACTTTAATTTGAGCTACTAGCATAGTCAAGGACTTCTCTGCAGATATTAAAAGTTAAGGAAGGTGACAAGTTGAGGAGGCAATGCTGCCATAAGGAAAAAGTAATTTATGCTCTAAACTGTTATACAGTACAGTGTTTTCAGAAAAGTTTCAGGAGATGTGACCAATTTTAAAAAATCACTACAATTGTATTTTTATTATAAAAGGAGATTCTTTTCATGTTTTACCTAAAATTGCAGGAAAATTTTGTTTCTTTTAACTGCTATGTAAATATTTGTTCCTATATTTACCAAAAGGAAGTTTGAACTACTGTAGTCCCCATTCTTTTTAGACACCGTATAAATCTGAGTTCAGACCTGCTAATAACACCTGACTTCTACTGGGATAGAGAGAAACTGGAAGAGCTTTATGACAAGACTTGCCAGTTTCTCAATATTAATCGCAGAGTTAAGGTAGGTGTTGTACTGTTACGAGAATTTTCCATACTTAGATCAGCTGTCTTTGGCTCAGCAGGGTTACAAACTGCTCCATGAATGTGTTTTAATCGTAGAAACTGAGTAAAGAATAATAGGATCCTATACACTATCCCCTTTTCCATGCGTTCATAACCCACTCACATCTTTTACCCAGTTCAGGTTAACCACCCTGCCTCATCTGAATGGACTGAATTAGGCTTTTAAGTAGTTGTAAGAAGAGGGGATTTATTTCTTGTTCTGAAATGCATGCAAGAAAACAAGTTAAAAAACTGAGACGTGAAGCAGCCTTCTTACTGACATGATGA